GGGCTCGAGATTTGATCGCAAAACCACCGCAAGTTCATCAGAACATGGCGTATTAGATCGTTCTGTCCAATGAGGGCTTACTCCCCAAAAGTGAGGCTTTTACACAGAATCTAGTTCAAAAGGTTTCATCCAAAATTGATACCCTGGCGCAAACAGATGAAGAAATCTTGTTATTTGATCGTGGAATTATTTCCGACCTCCAATAGCAGTCTCCATATCAACTTTCCTTCCCTTTCAACTCACATTTCATTTACAGCTACTTGAGCGTAGCGAAGAGAAAAGTCTCTTTGATTTGAACTGACCACCCTTCTGACCATACCTTAACTCACAGTCTTCACTTCATCGAAAGCGCTGTAGACTCTAGTTTGGCTCTCATTCGAGCTCGTCAGTATTGCATGTCTACTGCCTCTTCCGGGCTTCTAACTATGGACCCATCACATGGGTCGTAAGTGGCCTCCACGCTCTTTTATTCATTACAGACTGGTGCTAAACTCTTGTGTTTGCATGTTGTATATAAACGCTTGTCTGGCCACAGATGGTATATTCGTGAAAAGACAAAAAATGACAGCTGCTGTGCGCGCNAGCGCAATTGTTCAATAAAAACATGGCTTGTTTCACCACATTCTCTACGACGCAGATTTTGATTAATTCCTCCATGAAATCACTGGCCCTCTGTACAGAAAATATCGTCGTTTGCGATGCATCCACAGCAGTATGTGTGAGTAATTCAACCCGATAGCCATTGACNATTGACGGACATTTACGAATCGGTTGACAGTATCGACTGTACATAAGACTACCACTCACGATTTTTGAGGTAGACTAAAGGAGACACTGAAGCAATTTATGCAGAGAGTGAAAGGTAGAGTGTGTGTATTTTTGTGTGCAGTACAGGGATTGCGCTAAGGTACTCGCCTACGAGGGCAGGGGTGACGAATGTTTGAGCAATAAAAATGCATGAACAGCGTGGATGGCTGCATTCATTATCCACAGAGACTACTCATAAGTAGCGAGAAGAGGATAGAAAAAAGGGAAATATCTGCGCACCATCGCAACGGTATGCTGGTGATTGATCTAAAAGGAACTGAATTGTGCGATCGGGGATTTGCGAAAAGCAATAGGTGGTGATGGCGGAAGTGCGTCAGAGTGGGTCAGTGTGGATAAAAAGCTCTTCAAAGAGATCCAACTTGTGCACATACGACGCTTGTTATTTTTTATTATTCACATACTGTTGATTGTTGTTCCCATAAGTTTTGATTGATATAACTCTCGACTGACTTGTTCTTATGGTTGTTTGAAGATAATTTGTCTTGTTCTAAGGCAAAAGATTCTCACCTTCTTATTTATACTCTTCTAGAATTGTGCGTTAGGCCTTTCAGTGAAATACTGTGTTGGACCGGTTGTTTTAGTGTCTAATTGTGCAAGTAAGTTTGAATTGGACATTTTGGGTGATCTGGAATCGCGTTCAGCATTTCATGAAACTCAACGTCTGTGCCTTCTAGGGATGTTATTCCGTGAGCCTTTTATGCAATTGAACGAAACGAAATTTGTACATCATTCTCTACGTGGTATGAATCATGTCACAATCCAGAAAACTATTCACGTTTTCTCAGATCTGGTATTTCGATGTCCTAGTATGAGATACTACTCACTTGTGAGTAGTTCGCAAAAAGATGCGATCGACGGTTTAGTTCAACGACCAAAAATGAGCAAGACCTGTTGAAGCGAATCGCTGGCGCTAAGTATGATGAATACGAGAATGCGCATCCAATAGTGGATCGTCCCAGCAACTATCCTGTGTGCATGTGGGAATTCTGTAGACTATTCCCAAATGAGATATTTTGTTTTACGATTGATAATTTGCTGAGACCGTAATCGTAATTCGCGACGAAAAAGTTTCCTTGAACAGGCACCGCCTTCCGGAATTATAACACTAGCACCTATCTAGGCTGCCAATGCCATTTTGAGGATAGTCACAGCCATATATTTTTATCATACTTCAGATTGAATAGGTAAACTGGACTGTTATTTGACGGATAAACTTTTATATGCTAGGCAAATAAGTGTTTATTATCATTTATAAGAACTGAGATCCGAACTTGAATAGGGAAGGTGTTACTCTTGTTCTTTTGGTTGATTTTTCTTTCGAATTCATTGCACACATAGATGATGGAGATTGCTCGCTTGCGTTCATTACTGCAAAATCCCTTGAATTTCACTAAGTAGAATTCCGAGCGTGTTCTGTGCTGACCCCTTCTACTTGTTGACTGAGCTGTATCACTTGCTGTCAAACAGTGTGGTCAGGGGTTGTGAGTGAACTTGCATTGGCTTGGGGCAAATGCACTACGATAAAACAATCAATTCGTTTTGCTTAAGAGACCTGAAGACAATCTTCGGTTTGCAGGCTGTTTATGAATCTTGAGCAAACACCAGATCAATAGAGGTTTTCCAGAATCGGTATTTTATCGCAGCATAATGACCCGTAATCGAATTTCTCAAGTAGAAAAATCCCTGAAAATTGGACGAAAAAGTTGTCCAGTTTCAATCGAGCCAACAGACGACACGTTTGTGAGCCACTTTCCGCTTTCCACAGACGGACAGTTAATACCATTGAAAATTTCTTCTCCCATTGAGAAATTAATAAGTTTACAACAAAGTTGAAAGTAAAAATACTCCGCATAATAGGAACTTCCTCATTTAGGGCAATGCAACGACCATTTCTTTACGTTCTTTCTTTTTTCTTTTCATTTTACTTCCTTTGATTGAATATGCATAGATACGATTTTCGGGAAAGGGGAATCGGCCAAGCAAAAGGCGGTCATTCAGTACACAAGGGGATATTTTGATGACGTTACCACCGGGCCACCACTGCCCAAGCATTAAAACGACAGAAGAAGGCTTGCTGAGGATGTGCTTAAGAGTGGTCTTATAAATCCAGGCTTTATCGAAACCATGGAAAAACTCAAGTTTTACAAGTGGGGAACATCAGCTGTTAATACCTGTTCTCCGAAACATGTCAAACAACCCGGGTAACTAGTAAATTGGAGAAGGACATTGCAAGAAATCCCATTCTTTTGAAACGACAGAAACCAACAACATTAAAAATAAAAGCCATGAAGAAATAAATGGCTAATTCTTCTTCTAGCGATGCACGGAGGCCGACATGGTCAACTGAACACAGACCAAGTCTGATCGTTTCCGATGTCTTATTCATCGTTGTGCAACCAGTCGGAGTTGAAACAGAAGAGAAATAGCCATCAGAAACTAGTCTGGTATTGAAAAAGTTGTG